TAACGGGACAGATACAGTGTTCGACTGTTCTTGTTTTCCAAGACCAAACTTCTTTAAATTACGCCATAGCACAGAAGAAGCCTGTTTTCTATCTGAAAACAGCCTATGGAAGAAATGAAGGCGAGAGTTACGTAATTGTTGCTTAACTTGGTTTCTGAGCTGACGGTATTGGGCCATTAGCCCCACGTCTCTAGTTCTCCTGGCTCTGCGAAAGACTGAGTCCCGCTGAGCCATTAACCTGAGGATCTCATTTGTGATCCAAGGCACGGGATGCTTCTTATTAACCCTTCGGGTAATGATTGGAGCGTGCTTATCATATAACTGCAAAATCATTTCATTTAGGGAATTTACCATGTCATCAACAGACTCTAGATTATGTATAGATTGCCAAGGTATCAAATAAACATCAGCTAAAAAATTAGCTTCGTTGAAATTTCGAAAGTTTCTATACGTAATGATTTTTTGTTCGGGTTTTGGTGCTCTTATTGAGAGGGCGCAATAGATTAAATCGTGGCGAGATATGGCCGGGACTGGAAGCTGTCCGTGGTGGACTGAAGTTTCTGGATCATTTACAATAATGAGGTCTAATAGAGTTTCAGCTTCGGCAGTGTGATGCGTTGGGTCGACATTGTTAAAGGTCGACTGAGTCCATAACGAATATACTTACAAACCTTAAATTGGTTTAAACACCTTTTGTTTAAATATCTTTATTAAAAATAGGTTTACCAAAGAGGAGGTTATAGTAATCCTGTAAAAATGAAATTTGATCCACTGCCAATCCCAATTGCCAATCCAATTGACCAATTGTTTCCTTTACTCCGAGCTATGTTATTTTTATACTGCATTCACCATGCATGAAATGAAATTAAAAATCATTTATTTACACAGGAAAAGTTAGGGCCACATAGCCCTTTCTTACACTTGACCTGTAATGCATGGTGAATAGTGTTTTAGCGCCAGTGTGTGTGTAAATGTGTCTGTGTGTGTGGAAGTAATCCTGCAGACGTTGGAGGTAATCTGTACAGAAAGGTAATTACCTCAGGCTTTGAAGTGGAAACTTACCTTCAGCAATGACTCAACACCGAGTGACATAATATGGATAAAGATCTGGTCAGTCGCTTACACAGGTGGACAACTTAGGGGATGGTTTCAGCAATTAACTGCCAATAAATTACTGTCAAAATATGTAGTTCTGCATAAATTTTAACCATTTTCTGAACCACTTTTACATATTAGTGCACTTATTAGTAGTGAAATATCTCTTATTGTGCTAGAAATCATTAAGTTAATGATTTTCCATATTAATAGTATATGACCAACAATTAGGCAGCATTTGTTGACTGACCTTGGTTATTATAAAAACAGACTAGAGTGAGTACTTAAAATTACTGGCTGTTTTAGAACCAAGCTATCTTTCAAACCAGTAATTTATGGTAGTAACTAATGGAAATATAGAATAGAGATTCAAATATATAATTAATATTTTTTGAACTATTTAGACAATTTATGTGGGTAAGTACAGTACCAAATGGTGTTAATTAAACGAAAACTAACCTTGGAGATTATCTACTCGGAAAACAAAGAAAACGACGGAGTCAATTTCTCTTACAATCATTCCCTTATTTGTTTCTCTTGTCTTGATAATTTAATACTTACTATTTCCTGAAAAAACAGGACTATTCCGTTATAGTGTCTTCCGCAATTAAAAACGTTACATCCCACATAAAATTAACGTTTAAGGTTAATCAATACAACAATGCAGAAGTTATAAAATATGCATGACAATTAGTCATACGCTATTTTACCTGGGTAAAATATTTATTGAGTATTTCTATTCGAGTTTTATAGCTTATTTTTTTAATAAATTAAAAATTACAGGTTTTATTTGTTTACAGCACAAAGCCTCATACGTGGTAGAGTTTTAATCCGTAATACACAATATTTAAATAAGTACATGGTATTTACGTCCCTTGTGCTTTTGAAAAAATGTTCAAATAGAATTAAGATTTAATTAAGATCGTACGTGTTATTAAATTACCTGAATAAAAGCAAAAATATATACGTCTAATAACACTTGTATTAGTGTAAATTAAGTATTGAAACAAATCTGTATTTGTAAACCAGAAATAGATAGAAATATTCTGTTTGTGGCAATAATTGTTAACAAAGGTTACGCATTTTTTTACGTCAAAAATATTTTTTTACGCCCATAACAGGATAGGGGGTAGGGGGTGACTTGTTTCTTTCAAATAGCAACCCCTATTGAGTAACGCCATATTTTGAAGGATTCGTCAAATGAAACACAATGAAGCGAACCCGAGGTGGATATCTCACCCTTAGCCAAAATGGCAGATATTTCAAAATTTGATTTTCTGTATTTAAAAAAGCATCAACTAAAAAAATAATGGAAACAAATCTGTATTTTTGAAACCGAAATAGATGGAAATATCCTTTTTGTGGAATTGATTGTTGACATAGGTTCCGTAACTTTTTACATCAAAAATATTTTTCAACCCCTTTAACAGGGTGGGGGTGGGGGTAACTATTTTTTTTTTAAATAACAACCCCTATTGAGTGACCCCTCATTTTGAATGGTTTGTTAAAAGAAAGACAATGACGAAACCCCGATGAGGTAGATATTTCACCCCTAGCCTAAATAGAGGGTATTCCAAAATTTAATATATGTGAAAAAGCACCCATTTTAAATACCCGCCATTTTGGCTAGGGGTGAGATATTCACCTCAAATTTGCGTCATTGCGTTTCTTTTAACAAACCCTTTAAAATGAGGGGTCACTCAATATGGGTTGCTTTTTGAAAAAATAAGTCACCCCCTACCTCCTTCCATGTTAGGGGGGTTAAAAAATATTTTTGATGAAAAAAATTGCAGAACCGTTGTTAACAATTATTGCCACAGACAGAATATTTCTATCTTTTTCGGTTTTAAAAATACAGATTTGTTTCAATACTTAATTAACACACTGTATATTTACAATTATACTGTTGACTTACCAACTTTTATACAATGTGATTGATAAGTCCCGTAACGGTTAAATATTTTAAAAAATAATGCAGATAGAGCTAAAATACTTAGTACAAAGTTACAGGGCATAGAACTCTATTTTAACACATATTCAGTGATTCAATAATTCTTCAGGGGGACGGCCCACAAGGAGTCGGAAGAAAATCTTAAATGGAAGCATAGGTCAATATGCATCAAAATCATCAAATTAAAGGTCTTTTTTAGTAGAATACAATGCCGCAAACCGCACTTCAAAAGGTTGATCCTGCACAAAATGGCAGATGTTCAAAGATTTCTTGAATCCGCTATTTTGAATCTTTGAACGACTGCCATTTTTTACTCAGGCATTCTTTTGAGCTTGAATTTATGGCATCGTAATCTAAAAGTGAAGTCCTTTAATTTGATGTGCATATCGACCTATTCTTACGTTACCAATTTTCTTCCTCCTAGGGCTGTGCCCCCTGAGGAGAAAGCGTATAATAGCAATGTAAATTAAATGAATCTTTGAACAACTGTCATTTTGCGCAGGATCAACCTTTTGAAGTGCGGTTTGCGGCATTGTATTTTACTAAAAAAGACCTTTAATTTGATATGCATATTGACCTATGCTTCCATTTAAGATTTTCTTCTGACTCCTTGTCGGACGTCCCCCTGAAGAGTTATTGAGTCACTGAATATGTGTTAAAATAGAGTTTTATGCCCTGTAACTTTGTACCAAGTATTTTAGCTCTATCTGCATTATTTTTTTAAAATATTAAACCGTTCCGGGACTTTTCAATCACACTGTATGTATTTACCCTCTTGTAAGTCAACAGTATAAGTGTATATATATTATTACAAGTGTTATTAGACGTATATTTTAGATTTTCTTTTAAGGTAAAAGTGAGTTTTTACCCAAATATATTAAATCTGTAAAAAATTAAAAAGGAAAAAGGAAACTATGTAAAATGTATTTTTATCAAAAATATAATCGTAAATTTTGAAAAATAATAGTCTTATATATTTTAAGAAGAGTAGAGAAAATTGAAATCCTTTTTAAGATTTACTTAAATGTATTAATTTACAATGGAAACAACCAAGCTTTGTGCAATGGCTGTCAGTTTATTTTTTCAACAGATGTATTTAGATAAAAGCCCAACTTATTTAAAATACTAATTCAAAAAGTTAATTCAAGTTGTTGGTGCTCTTGACGTTTCGCGCTTGGACTCACTGAAGCATCTCTAACATTACGTCAGCTAGATTAAACCTCTCGTAAAAACTGAATAAAAACAAGTCTAATGAGAAAGTCATTTAGCCTGATATAATAAAACCATCCAGACTGGGAAATGAAGCGTTGTGATATTCGCATTACCGTTACGTCTTTGGATCTCACAGTTTATGGTAATATCTTATTCGTCAGTTTTCCATTTTTTTTATTTTTTTTATTTATAAATATTTGTCTTGGCATTTTCGGTGATTTAATATTTAAAATTGACACCAAACTACAAACTGGATGTTGAATGCATACCATTTATTTGTGTCTATTTAATCATAATTTGTGTAACCAGTACGGACGACCTTATAGCCACATCACATCATTTTACATCACTAATGTTATGTTTTTCCACTTTTGTAAATACGTAGGCCTATTGGTTTTATATTATGCATTGGATCAATAAGGGAGTATTTTTAATGGAAGTAAAACGCGTTTTTGTTCATAATGCAAATATCCTCAAATATTACATACTTCTATAACAACTTGTCGTATCTCACAAATCAGGGTGATTCGGCTTAATTTCTATCGTTCGTTTCATTTTTGTTAGTAAGAGACTGTTTTGTAAAGTTGGTATTATGTTAACATAAAAATGGCATACTTACAGCATTCTAATAAAAGTGTTGTTCTTTTCTATAACCTTTTTTGGTTTCTGTAAAAAACCTTTTAAACAATTAATTGTCAATATAACTGTGAGTTGGTTGATATAGCCACACGTTTGATTCTTACGAATAATACTCGTATATTTACATACAATACTGTAGAGTTACAAAATCAATAACTATAACTATACAAGACTTTATAACGTAACAACATTGTAGACTAAACTCTTTGGTGAACATACAAGGTGATGACGTAATACAAGAGAAGGTTCGCTGCGATGGACGGCGACAACGGAGGGCCTCCACTCTCAGCCATGGCTGGGAACAGAACGTATCATTTATATAGTACATGGGGGAAACACAATAAAATCAGTAAGGAAATAATAATGACATTTTCATACTAAGATTTCTTAATCCAAGTTCCATGCTTATCGTTTTCATTTTATATTATATTATTATATTATATGCATTGCAAGAACAGTAAGATTTTATACTGTATGAAATATCAGAAGATACTATTTAAAATAATCCTAATCTGGTTATGTGTAAAAATGATTCCTCAAGCTTATTTATTGGTTTTATAAATGAATTGTATGTTTTGTACTTAACATTTGTTAATTTAAATAGAACACAAACACTAAATTTCTTTTAATAATTAAAAGAAATTTAGTGTTTGTGTTCTATTTAAATTTTGGTCGTTTAAATCTGTTTTTATAAACTATTTATAAAAACAGATTCAAACGACCATTTGTTTATTGTTTTTAAATAAAATAGATAAACTTTGGAAAATGGTTTGTAACCCCCTTTAAAATCTGATTTTGAAATACTTGCATACGGTGTTTAATTCATACTAACCGTTTGTAACTAAATTATGAAAGTCATCAGCTTAGAGCCAAAGCACTGTACAGTGCCAGAAGAGGCAGTCATGGTGGTGCTGATCGCTCATCTAATGCTTCGACTTGCAGCTTTTAAGATAGTATTACCGTATCTCAGCTAAATCCCGATCATTATTTGGAATTTAGTATAGAATTATGTAAAAAAAAATCTTTTTTATACACAAAGCGTTTCAAGCCTTTGGGGTATAATTATTTACATCAAAGATCTGGTAGGGGTAAGGTCTAATTTATTTTGGTACAATACAGAATTATGCATTTTTATTTTCACAAATCTTTATTTTCCTCATCTCCCCTTATAGATTTTCTTGTGCTCAAACTGCTATTAGTTAATTGTATTTCTTACACAGCATAAAACGATATGTAATGTCTCTATGAAAATATTTAATGTGTTGTTGAATCAACTAGAAACATATACAGAAATGAACAACTATAATTTCTAAAGGTGCATTAAGAATTAAAATAGTTTTATATTTGTTGTTAAGTGAAACACTTTTAACAATAAGGTTATTTTAAAAACTTCAATAATGTTACTCTCTATATATGTTTATAAAATCACTCGTTGCTACGAAACAAATTGAACCCTGTTTTTTTCTTCTTGGAATGGAAGCACCAAATCCTTTTGCCTGTAATTGCTACTTTGGGTATAAAAGGAGAATGCATCATGTTGACCTCCAAAGGATTGGTAGAACTAATTGTTATTTAGCTATTATATTTTAAGTAAAATATTGTATTTTGTTCTTAATACTGATTGGTGACAAATGTTAGCCGATAAAATAATGAGGATTGCTATTTGTTGATTCAATAGATTTATCATAAATATTGCGTTGTTAAATTTTTCAAATATAATTTTAAATGTACTTTAATCTAAAAATAAATTAATATAATATTTTCCAAAAATATAGATAATTTGTTACTTTAATCACGGCTTGGTCGTTACTGTCTTCTCAATACGATCGCAGATGTTTAAAGAAAAATTGACCACAATTGTACTGTTTCGAATCTTATTAAATATTGAGAATAGTATTGATTCGTTACGACTATTTTTATTTGATATCGTATGTGAATTAACTTAAGGTTTTCCGTGACATTAAAAAAAAGTGTAGCCTATGCACTCACCTTTCTTATTTTAATACAGATTGGTTAATGAAGAATGGCGAGTTTTGTTTTGTCATAAAGGGTAACACTAAACCTATTCTACATGTAAAAATAGTAAACTAAACTCGCCCCTGACATTATTACATTTTTATACAAGTAACATGCTTCAGACATGAGTCCATTTTCAAACTTCATTAGTGAACACTTAACTTTTTGTTCCTTTTTTTTGTAATTATAATATGTTTTTTAGAGATGATTTTTTAAAGAGACAGGGTTTGGAACTTTTAATTATATATTGATTATCTATTTGTTAAGTTTTGACGAAGATTTGACTATTTAAAATATGACTTGGAATGTTCAGGTATTATTTGTATATGAAGTATTCTTCGCTTGAATCCATTAGTTTTCCTTTGCTTAGAATTTTAACATTAATTTTCAAATGTGTATAATTGTATTATGATATGACATCTGCATGATTAAGTTTATTTTTCAAATTTTGCTGACCAAATACAGAGAACGAAACATTGTTGTAATGGCTTTAGTACTCTTAAATTTACTTACCACTAGATATACTGTCCGTGCTTCCTATAAAATAAAATTTTAGTTAATACACCTAGTACAGACAGTCTATTTTACATTTACACTTTTTTTTAACAAATTTAAAATTGTAATAGCAGTATGTTATAAATAGGATAGATGTTACAAGTAACTTAGTTACATTGCTTATTATATTTAAAATATATTTCCACATTTAAATGAGTATTTTACGAAATTTATCATTCGCAATAGAGTGGTGAGTGCCAAGATCAGTTCACATATGCATTTACATTTTTATTTGAACTATAGAACACTAGGACATAAAGCAGAGAAATCATTATTCAACTGAATAACATTTTGTTTAGGACGTTACAAAGGTACAAACGTGACAATGGTATTTTGCCAGTCGTAACGGGTACAATGTCACATTATACGAATAAAGAGGGAAATGATATACACAAGGAAAACACTTTGACAGTTGTTGATATCTCCAGCGACTATATACAAAGATCTCTTTGTCTTGTAGGTAACGAACAATCGCCGCGCCCCGTCTCACTAGCGGTGCCAGCTCCCAACACACAGACCTTTTTGTTTCACTCTAAATGAGAAGCAAACATAGATCCTATACTCTGACTTTTTACACTGAATCAAAGCATTCGTCAACTTCATTACTACGTGATTTCCACTGATTCATTTTCTTCGTCTATCTTTCACATGACAAATTTGGATTTGTAGGATGTATTCAATAGCAACTGCAACGCAGGAAGGGAAATCAAAAAGTCGAGTGCTTCAAAGTATCGCACAAAGTATACGTACTATGGTATTTTTTTTTAACTAGGGCATTAACTAGAAATAACATTATGAATTATTTTGATATACTGTATAAAATATACATGCAATACAAAAAATATAAGTATAAATAGTAAGACACTCTTACAAGCATATAAATATTTTCATATTTTATGACTTAACTTATTTTCTTTGATATTCAATATACAGTACATAATCCTGGAGAAGATTATAAAGGGTAAGGGTGTAAGACAAGAGGACTTAAAAGACTCGTAATTTCTGAGACTCGCCGATATACGATCGCTGGGGTTATACGCATTATTCCTATTGTTATACACATTGAGGATATAGAAGTTTACTTGAGTTTTGAAACTAGTTTTGAAAGTTTATCGTGCTTATTTTGCCTCTCATTATATATCATTAAAGGGGAATATTAGTTGGGCCTTAACATAGACAGTGCATTCTGGAATACAAGGTTCTTGGTTATTGTAATCCTCACCTGGATAGTAGACAATAGTACTATTATTGTGGTACGATGTTTCAGGTATCCTCAACTCGCAGCAAAGTGTGGTGGGAGTATCCAGCCCCGTGTCTGACAGCAACACCTCTAGCTGTATATCGTACTCCCCGGACCTGGCAGTCGTCTCTACCCTCGTACCTGCCACCAGCGACCTACTGTACAGACAACACAGTAACAGCAACACCTCTAGCTGTATATCGTACTCCCCGGACCTGGCAGTCGTCTCTACCCTCGTACCTGCCACCAGCGACCTACTGTACAGACAACACAGTATAACAGCAACACCTCTAGCTGTATATCGTACTCCCCGGACCTGGCAGTCGTCTCTACCCTCGTACCTGCTACCAGCAACCTACTGTACAGACAACACAGTAACAGCAACACCTCTAGCTGTATATCGTACTCCCCGGACCTGGCAGTCGTCTCTACCCTCGTACCTGCCACCAGCGACCTACTGTACAGACACCACAGTATAACAGCAACACCTCTAGCTGTATATCGTACTCCCCGGACCTGGCAGTCGTCTCTACCCTCGTACCTGCCACCAGCAACCTACTGTACAGACAACACAGTATAACAGCAACACCTCTAGCTGTATATCGTACTCCCCGGACCTGGCAGTCGTCTCTACCCTCGTGCCTGCCACCAGTGACCTACTGTACAGACAACACAGTATAACAGCAACACCTCTAGCTGTACATCTTACTCCCCGGACCTGGCAGTCGTCTCTACCATCGTACCTGCCACCAGCAACCTACTGTACAGACAACACAGTATAACAGCAACACCTCTAGCTGTATATCGTACTCCCCGGACCTGGCAGTCGTCTCTACCCTCGTACCTGCCACCAGTGACCTACTGTACAGACAACACAGTTTAACAGCAACACCTCTAGCTGTATATCGTACTTCCCGGATCTGGCAGTCGTCTCTACCCTCGTACCTGCCACTAGCGATCTACTGTACATACAACACAGTATAACAGCAACACCTCTAGCTGTATATCGTACTTCCCGGATCTGGCAGTCGTCTCTACCCTCGTACCTGCCACCAGCGATCTACTGTACATACAACACAGTATAACAGCAACACCTCTGGCTGTATATCATACTCCCCGGACCTGGCAGTCGTCTCTACCCTCATGCCTGCCACCAGCGAGCTGCTGTACAGACAACACAGTAACAGCAACACCTCTAGCTGTATATCGTACTTCCCGGATCTGGCAGTCGTCTCTACCCTCGTACCTGCCACCAGCGAGCTGCTGTACAGACAACACAGTAACAGCAACACCTCTAGCTGTATATCGTACTCCCCGGATCTGGCAGTCGTCTCTACCCTCGTACCTGCCACCAGCGATCTACTGTACATACAACACAGTATAACAGCAACACCTCTGGCTGTATATCATACTCCCCGGACCTGGCAGTCGTCTCTACCCTCATGCCTGCCACCAGCGAGCTGCTGTACAGACAACACAGTAACAGCAACACCTCTAGCTGTATATCGTACTCCCCGGATCTGGCAGTCGTCTCTACCCTCGTACCTGCCACCAGCGAGCTGCTGTACAGACAACACAGTAACAGCAACACCTCTAGCTGTATATCGTACTCCCCGGATCTGGCAGTCGTCTCTACCCTCGTACCTGCCACCAGCGATCTACTGTACATACAACACAGTATAACAGCAACACCTCTGGCTGTATATCATACTCCCCGGACCTGGCAGTCGTCTCTACCCTCATGCCTGCCACCAGCGAGCTGCTGTACAGACAACACAGTAACAGCAACACCTCTAGCTGTATATCGTACTCCCCGGACCTGGCAGTCGTCTCTACCCTCGTACCTGCCACCAGCGACCTACTGTACAGACAACACAGTAACAGCAACACCTCTAGCTGTATATCGTTGTTTTTTCATTAGTACGTTTTTGCTTTCCGTCACAAAGTTTAAACACTGCATGTTTACTTAGGGGTAAAACACTTTTTTAATAATTAATACTGGAAACAGCCAAACCTCGCTTCCTATAATAATATTATTATATGCATAATATATTTAAGACCAGAGTATTAGGGAGAACGCGCTCATTGGGTCGAGAGAGTTCTCATTCTTTAAAAAAAGGGCAGTGCCAATTGAAACATATGAAAATTGCCAGGACCGTTGAGAACCAATTACGATTTGAATGTATGGGCTCTGAACAGTTAATTTTATTTAGGCAATGAAAAAACCGAGCAGGAGTTGGGTGTATTCCCGGTGTGTCTTTCGAAGTCACAACACTGAATTCAGAAGTGTGACGTGAATGTTATAAACCTAAAATAAATTTATAATTCCCATTGCAGTTAGGAACTTGACAAAAGCAATAAAAACATTTAACCAATTTATTTTAAATGGATGCTGTTAAGTGTTGTATTATAAGTATGACAGGTTGTTTGGTGCTCCAATAAAGTTATGTTGAAGGTTTTCTTGTTCAAGCATCACATACTTGCTTATCATGTATTTTCAGTTATTATTCCTATCCCATTAATCTCTACAACAGTATAAAGTCAATATTCGATCAATGATTATCATTTTAAATAATCTTTGTCAACTTTTTTTTATCAAAACCTTACTTTTGCCTCAGAAATTATTGTTTTAAAATCACAATATTGCACTTATTGCAATAATAAAAACAACCTTTAATTAGTAGTTTGCAGTTATTAAAACTGCAAGGCTTTAAAACTAGCATGTATTTGATTCTATAAGTCATTCAAGTGTAATGCTTACGTTTTGTTTTCAGCGACAATGTATAAAAATAACTTAGGCTCTGGGTAGACGCCGGTGGCCCGACATGACACGTTGACAGTCTCGTAGTCCGCGCGGCTAGACATCAACGTCAAGTCCTTCTCTGGCACTGCAAACATTTCATGATTTACTTAAACCAAGTGTTTATAGTCACAGAGAAGTGTTGTATTTTGAAACATATTTTTAATACACTATCAAAACCCAAACAAATGTTTTATGTATCCACCCACCACGAAAGATATAATTAGAATATTTTGTGTGGGGCTCGATATTAGGACTACATTTTTTGACTCTGTAAACAGTAGGCTATACAAGTTATGTCTATTCTAATCTAAAGTTCATATTTCAGACTTTGTCCTTAATAAATGGTTATTCACTCTCGAGTCAATATCAATTGTGAGCAGCCGTACCCGATGTACGCGACTGTTGGTTCAGGCTAACAGATGCTAATGTATTCACAAGGATCAGGAAATCGACAGAAGTTGCTCACTCTTTGTAAACAGATTTTGTTCCTTTTAATACTTCTTGTCTTCATAGTTGTTTCAAAGATTTATCTAGTTAAATCTTCGATTGCGTTTCCAAGAGATAAATCTCAACCTTACTCTGAAGTGCCCCTCCCACCGACATATTTAATCCTACAGTTTGGTTAGTAAATAATGACATAGCGAATTTAGTTAAATTTAAGCATCACATACTTAGTTAATGGAATCACTTCTTAGTTAATTTAGTCTTTAGTCACATTTTGCCGAAGTATTTTTTATGAAACAAGTGGAATAGATTATTAATGATGACTTGCACAATTAATACAAGGGGACTTACTTATCCAAAAAGGTTAGTGATTTTTAAATGATTTTTTTTTTTTATATAAGTTTTTACACTTTTATTGACCTTCTCAGAGGTATTTATCTAGATAATCTAAATAATGTTTGTACAGGTAACAGTCAATTGTTTTTTCATTGTTTAGAAATTTTTTTTTAATGGGGATTTTCCCATAAAACCCCATAAAAAACCGAAAAATATGATTTTCCGAAAAATGGCCCGAACGGTTTTGATAACAATTTTGTATGTTATAGTCCTTTATATTCTGAACAAAATTGTACAAATCCCATTTCTGTAAAAATTACGGTTCAAAAGTTATTGTAAATTATGTTATTTTCCCATAAAAACCCCATAAAATAACGGAAAAATCGGATTTTCCCAAATTGGCTCGAACAATTTTGATACAAATTTAGTATGTTATAGTCCTTTAAATTCTGAATAAAATTGTACAAATCCCATTTCCGTATATTTACTCTCACCGCTTACACATGATAAAGGTTGTTGACAAACTTATGGGAGAAAGTATGTGTCAGAATACTGATACCGTTTATTTTCTCTGCATTTAAATGTTCATTTCATAGATCCCAAAGAAAGTAATAAATAACATTAAAACATTTCATGTATAGCTCCTCATGTCAATCTCATATCAGATCAATGTTTTGGTGATGTGTGGCAGATATGAAGTTAAAGGCAGGTGCCTTTGAGCAGCCAACTACTGTAGAGACCCAGGGCAACACTGTCAACCTCATGTGGCCCTACTGAATCTCAGATGAGAAGGCCTTAGTAAACAAACCACCTTCATGTAATACAGCCCGAGGATATTTCTTATTAATCACTCATCATCTAGATTCGTTTATTACGCAAATAAGCCTAAAAATTTATGCTAGGTTTATTTATTGTACTCTGTATTTACACAGATCTTCTCACATCATTCTACATTCATCCTTCACTAATATTTTGGTTACAATACGCACCTAGGTCACGTACCCACCTCAATTGATTATTGATAGATAAAATATATAGTAAAAATATATCAATGCAAAATACTCTTAGAATTTTACAAAAAACAATCTAATAGATTGTCAATACAGGTGTTAAAGGTAATTAGTAGCAGTGGACACTGTATCGGACAATGTACAGCATGTGTACATATCATTAGAGCCGTGCAATCAGGAACAAACCTTTTCAAAATTTTGTAGGCTTATACTTTTAGAATAATTTTACCTAACCCGGTGATAATCTTTTGGTGAAGTTTAATGACAAAAACTGGCATTTTATCGATTGATTGACAAATACGTCATTTTTATTCTTTACGTAAAGTAATAAAATAGTTTATTTCATGTTCCCGAAATTGTTTTCAACTGTGGGTTAGACTAAATTAAAAACCTTAAATATTCACACGAACATTTCGTTTATGTTTGGGAACGCATTTCCGACTTTGAAACTTGTCAGTTAAGCCAAGCATTGTTAAATCTCTAGTTCAAAGACAAACTCTGTAAGTCAAACACTGGATCGCTGAACGTGTTTTCTTCGCGATAATACAATTCAGTATTGTTGGAATTAGCATAAAACTGGGGAGGATTCTTGACATCTGCATAATTTACATCAGGGAAACTTGGACTGCTCAGTGAGTTCCATCGACGCCCCGGGACATGCACGGAGTTGCAGCTCTCTCCTTGTGGGGTGATTTATAAACAATTTCCACAAAATATAGCCGTTAGCGAGGTCTGAGAGTTTTCTGGTAACTGACTTAAAGCGAGTGTAACCACATAGACCTAAGTATCACTGTGGTTTGTATAGAAGAACCTATGTTTGGTTCTGATGTACTTTAACTGTCACAAGTCTTCTTCGTTTTCAACAAAATGTTGCAATCAATGTAAATATTTCTATTTAATTAATCCGTGAAGCAGCCCAATTGTTTCACTGGTTTTGATTTTGGTATGTCCCCAAAGGTTTTTTTTATTTTTCAAAACAAATAAAAAATAAAAATAAACTTTCTTTTGCCATCCGAATAAATAAACAAACAAAACAAGTAACTGTAAGTTTAATTTTTATTTAACGCACATTAATTACCATATTACTAAAGAGTGCTAAACGTGATACTGTATGTTGACTTTTGTATTTAATTTTCTTTTCAGTGAAGGAATTTAAAATGTGGTAAGAACTACACTTTTCTATCCAGTGTAGCGGAAACCTAAACACTCGTTGAGTCAATGTACAATATTTGAGTTGAGGGTGGAACTAACCGTATTTTTTTATAATGAGCTTGTTTGAAAATTTAAAACTCCAAGTTGTTAGTGTATTTTAAATCGATTAAGTTTTATGTTGTATGACAACTTATGAGGCAATGTTATTAAGAACACAACTCGTTATAAACAATAATAAGATATTGATTTAAGGAAGTCCAATGACCCAAATAAAAGCTAAGACAATAAAATATTTTTTTTGTATATTTCGTAGTTTATTGCGTCTGTTGCAAACATGGACTGCTGTTTTGGTGTTGAAAATTCAGTCAAATATTTCTTCTTTTTTTTCGTATTCTCTGAAATTGGTGGTTGTACAGTGCCTATTTTAATTGTCAGGAGTTGTACTTTTTACGTACGTTTAACGGCTTAAAAATTGTAAGATTGTTGGTTACTATTTATATAAGTGAACGAATTATGAAGTCAATAGACTAATTGCAATATAATTTAATGTTTCCTGAACAACAGTAAATTTTCAGTTTTATTTATATAATGACTTTTAGTAAATATTTATTTATTAATAAATAATTTGTACTTTTTCATAGCTATATGTAATATTTCAACATAAAGAGTTGTCAATTCGTTACTTTAAACCTAAATTTATTAGTTAATTAAGCAATTACAATATAACTGAATTAGTTATTCAAGTTGTTTTCGGTTAAATATGATTCGGCTTTTTTATTCAAACGTTTAGTGCTTGTTTATGCCTTAGTCACTGAAATGTTCAAGTAATAACTTTTGCTTTTTACTCACCATAAACAATCATCTTTTTTATCATGAAATCTTCGTCCCAAAATGTGGAGACGGCGCACTTGTACTCCCCTGACAGTTTAGGAGTAGGGTTGGTGATGTAGAGAGCGCGGTGCATTGTGGCGTTGTGGTCACTTGCTCTGAGAACGATAACAATTATATAAGATAATTAAAATGTCAAAAATATCAAGACAAAATTTTAAAAATGATTAAAGTTCGTAAAGTAAAAAGTTGAATAAATTATCTTAAAAAACGTATAATATTTTATACACAAACTAGTTATCCTCATCATAAACGAATTTACTTTGACACACCATTAATTTTAAAGATACCTGTATCGGAGGTCAAGCCGGCCCTTAAGCATACCAAGGTCCTGAGGCCTCTGTCCTGGAATCCACTGATACACGGGAGCTGGAGAGTTGTTCCAGAACCACTTGATGACCAGACCAGAGCCTGGGGCCAGCTCAGAGGCAAGTAGATTGTACTCGCAGTCCAGGACGGCGGCTCCAGATCCATAGCGCACCTCTGGTGGCACCTCTAGTGACGTTATCTGGACACACTGGATACCTGGAAACATCAGACAGTGTCATCAGACCAGACCAGAGCCTGGGGCAGACTCAGAGGCGAGGAGATTGTACTCGCAGTCCAGGATGGTGGCTCCAGATCCATAGCGCACCTCTGGTGGCACCTCTAGTGACGTTATCTGGACACACTGGATACCTGCAAACATCAGGCATTGTCATCAGACCACACCAGAGCCTGGGGCCAGCTCAGAGGTGAGCAGATTGTATCGCAGTCCAGGACGGCGGCTCCAGATCCATAGCGCACCTCTAGTGACGTTATCTGGACACACTGGATACCTGCAAACATCAGGCATTGTCATCAGACCACACCAGAGCCTGGGGCCAGCTCAGAGGTGAGCAGATTGTATCGCAGTCCAGGACGGCGGCTCCAGATCCATAGCGCACCTCTAGTGACGTTATCTGGACACACTGGATACCTGCAAACATCAGGCATTGTCATCAGACCACACCAGAGCCTGGGGCCAGCTCAGAGGTGAGCAGATTGTATCGCAGTCCAGGACGGCGGCTCCAGATCCATAGCGCACCTCTAGTGACGTTATCTGGACACACTGGATACCTGCAAACATCAGGCATTGTCATCAGACCACACCAGAGCCTGGGGCCAGCTCAGAGGTGAGCAGATTGTATCGCAGTCCAGGACGGCGGCTCCAGATCCATAGCGCACCTCTAGTGACGTTATCTGGATTTCTGCAAACATCAGTAGTGTCGTCAGACCAGACCAGAGCCGTCACAATATTCCCAGAAGCCATCGTGCATTAAAAGAAGTTAACTTACTCAGCCTTTGCGTCTGCATTAAGTAGAATCGGTTTTTATTTTGCTCTTTCTTATAGTATTTTTTCATAGACTCCATTTTTATAGACTTAATATTTGCAATCATAAATTAATTTCAATTCGTCAAACAAGAAGTCTAGGAACTTTAATAATAAATTTTTAATTTTTATCCATGCTATTCATTATTTTTAAAAAAAACTTTAAATTTAAATAATAATGGTACCCAACCGTTTCCATTATTTTTCTATGAGGCACGCTTACTATGACTTGCATCATTATTATGTACCACCCCGTTAAACGAAGACAGGCAATCCACCTTACCTTACCTTGACCAGATTAGGCTAGTTGAGATAAGCAAGGGTTAATTTTGCCTAGTTTCAGTTCTGAAAGGCTAAGATGGAATAGGTAGGAAAAGGTAGGCTTCCCAACAAAGAAAGAAATAAAATCGTGCATGATTTTTACTGTTTTTTTTTATTTTTTATTAATACATACGGTTCTTCAACAATAATAAAATAACTCATAGCAGCCCTGCCACCAGACACTGTTTAGTTTATCCTCTCTTACAGAACAATGTAAGCTATTACTGATAAACCAAACAATTGATATTTACTGAACCTAGGGGGAATCGCACCTTAATCTTCCAAACCTTTAAATTGAAACCAAGAATTGTGAAAAAAAGTTGTGTCTGCTTACATGTTTATTCAGTAATATAGGCATACTATAGTTGTATTGAGCTTAATGTGATTTAAAACTATTTATTGATACATATTTAAAAAATATATGTTTAATGACAAAATGTTATTTTAATGTCAATGATAGTTTTTTTATATTTTGCTTTGTTTCATTTAACATGGTTGGGTTTTTAAGATACGATAAAAAGAAAGTATTACGACTGAACATGATTAATCCATTGTTTTAAGTGATTCGCACCATACGGCTTTGAAGTACCCTGTAGGATGTTAAGGCCAACTCAAATAGCGCTGATTGGATAAGTGGCTGACGGCGACAATGGTAAGAGGCTGCATCTCGCGTTGGCCGATTTATATCAGACTTTGGGCTATTGGATGCTCTTTCTCAAGCCTGTCACATTACCACAACTACCAAAAACTAATGATTTATTATATTTTACAATTCAAAACCCGAACTTATTTTAAACAACTCTACATGGATTATTGAAGGATGTAAGTTTTTATACGGGTAAAATCAAGTCGTCAATACAAGTACATTCTTATAAATTCTGTATAATTTTTGTTCTATAGTCATGCAGAAATTTTTGAAATAGTCATATTTAACTTAACTTACTGAAACAATTTAAGGACTTCTTCCGTTGATTCACAGTCCCTATTTATATCATGTATGTAACAAAGCACCAAGTTATAGGTAATGTCTCGGTTCTAACCAAACCTAACCCAAGCAAAATTGAAATAGGCCTAACACAACCCTAGACATTATCTGTAGATAAATATAACTGTTGAAAAGTAGTTTAGGTGAATATCATATTTTTACTATATCCCTTAAATATTTAAGAGTTATATTAAATTTAAAATGTTTTCATAGGTCTTTGCTTACATATTTAAATGTGAAATGGACGAGTTAGTTCAAAGTGTCACTTTTTCCACTTCAAGTGAGTACTCATTGCAAGAATAAAGAGAATAACGTGATAATGAGAATACATTGGAGAGGTCACACATTTCTCAGTGTCTGGATTCTCTTAGGACCTTGTGCGAGCTGTGGTCCTTCGGGTTCAATTATTCCAACTTTTTAAGACCTGACAATGGAGAACTTTACAATACATAAACTCGGAAATTTTACACTACAAAGATCGCTTAAATATTTATAGAGCTCAGCGTATTGCATGGCTGAAATATTCAAGAAGCCAAATTGTTTCTGGATCCAGCAGCATCTGTTACCTTGTATAATTGAATAACCAGCTGTTTATTATAGTCTGAATAGATTTGTGAAACTATAGTTATATTTAATGGCAGTAACAGTTTGTTGGTTTGCATACTGAAGATCTTATAAATTACTGCATTTACAAATACCCCCCCCCCCCAACAAAAAAACATTCAAAGTTTATTATTACTGTGACTAACTAAACAGTTATTGGTTAAAATACAAGTTTAAAAGTTATACAGAATCGGCGTAGTGTTAATTTTAAATCAAATGAATTATTTGCCTACAGGTAGATTAAACCGTTATAAGTCTGATGGCTCCAGATCGTGAAAATGTTTTGCGAGAGAGTTTAAATCTAATGTTTAATTCAAAATGGAAGGGTCTGTCTCAATGAACTCAAAGTAAATATCACATACAGTATAAAGTAATGCCACTGGTCTTATAACAGTGTTGATGTATTCATGATTATTTCTCTGTGGTATTAAATGTTTTGGGAGAAAATTTTGCATAAAACAAATAAATTAATAACTATAACAAAACATAATGTTATTTGTACGGTGAGCAGGATTGATAAGTATTAATTCTTAGATATTTATGTAATGATATTTTTGCACTACTAATCTTTCTCGCTAACGAAAGCTTAAAAAACAAATTATAATTCTGGTCACGTAAACAGTATATTTTGAATTTGTGTTGTAATAAATTAAACACTTGAGTAAAAAATAGTAGTTTACGCAACGATTGCACTACTTTACCTACGACCGTTTTTTAATTACTATCAATCTGGATTTAATTACCAACAATCACTACTGATAACTTTTTAGAGAGGTTATGTTTTCGTGTATTGTCATTGCCACTGAAAGTGATGCAACGACTTGTTGTATAATCAGCTGATTTCCTGTAATTACGTGTTTGTTAAATATTACATTGCTAGCAGCATTCTTACCATAAATAATATTGTATCAGGTACAATTCGGCAAATACTTCATTTATTTTTGGACTTCCACCAACTTAATTAGAATACGCGAGTATCAACATGAACAAGTCGGATCAACAATTAAATTGGTCAACTGATCAGCTGATCAGCTGATTAGTTGACGTTCGAAGCATTACAATTTTAATTCTTTTCTCTCAATACTTGAACCTCATTGGTCCGTTACCTGTGTGGATATGAGAAAAACTATGCTGATATGAAATGAAACTATGCTGATATGAAAGTAAACAGCTGTAAAGTGAAACTTTTTAATTCTAAGAACTGGACTGAAATGGCTACTTTAAAAAACTGTCGTAGGTAAAATACTTATAAGGCTTAGGCTGCTATGTTTTTGTTGACAAAAACTAAGCCATCCAACACTTATTCCTCACTTTATTATTTTGTGTGCAATTCAAAATACTAATAGTTTTGGGAACTAAAACTAACTAGTCTAGATATTTTTGATAATTCAATTACGCTATTTAATAAGTGATGAAAGGTTAGATCTAAATGTTTAACTGGAAACATTCCCATCAATTTCAACTGTTACAAAACCAACGTTGACATGTAACAGTTTCAATTGCCAAACACAGTTCTCGTTACACTTGACAATAGATATTTATAAATATTGAACTGTACAAAAGACTAGTTTACTAAATGAATTTTATGGGATTATTGGTATGTTTTTAGATATGTATTACTAAATTGTTTTATGCAAAACACCATTATTTTTAAGTACGGATTGCACTTGATAAACTGATTGAAATGCACAAGTTAATAGTTTGGCCATTCAAAAATGAAAATAGTCTAATTTCTACGTTATAAGATTCTGGCTAGAAATATAGTGCTTGCCTGTTTTGAGACGCAATACAACTTAATAGGTCTGTTTGATCACTGGGAACTTCCTGTGATCTGAAGAAGACTTGGTTGATTGAAACCGACTCAATATGTGGCAGGAAGCGCTCCCAGTCTCAGAATCTTGCCTCCAGCTGATATTGAGTTATTTCACAATTGAGTTTTTCACGTATCAAAACAACAATTAATGTCTTATTTACGTGATATTCCATTATGTTTCAGAGTAATTTAGCTTGAACTCTAAATGAAAAGACTATTAGGTACTTGTTTTACAAAGAAGCTACTCTTCACTCTTTAAAAAGAATTACTATGGTCTACTGTTTCATTAGTCTGATTTTGAGAAAAAAAATTCTCAGCGAAGTAAGTCCGGGCTTAAACGGATATTTTACTTTGGGGCCTTATTTGTTAATTGAGCGGAGCGAGCGAAGCTCTTATACGTTGACTCTTATGCATTTCGTAATACGCAAACTCCTCCTAGACGGCTGAATCAA